TTATAATAATTTAATTTTTATTCTAGAATTTTATAGTTTAACTTATATATAAAAAGCTGATCTCAAAATTATTTTAGCTTAAAGTTTGAAGTAGATGTCCAGCTTATTCTTTCTCTACATGTCTAGTGACATTTACCAAAACAATTTTTTTAAATTGTTTCCCAGTAATCTAAGAGGCAACCTTAATATATACTAAATTTCCATACATATTTGGATGTATTTCTAGAAACAATACTCTATTCCTTACATTATACACATCATCTATGCATGCACAGGTATAAATTATTTAAAATACTATAGTTTTAAAATATGTTTTAACCTTTGTTAGAATTTTCACTCACTATTCTTTACTTTTTATAATTTTGCTTAAATTTTCTTGGCTATTCTTGTATGCTTCACTTTTGTTTCGAGTTCTGATGTGTCATGCTTGCTTTGTTTTTACAGAACTAAATTTACCAATGTTATATATTTCTTTGTTTTTTAATCAGTAATTCAAAGTAGATACTTGCTTTCAAAACCTATCTCTGACTTTTCTTTCAGCCTTTAAAAAAAATCATTTGTCTAAATTGCTTAGAAAATCTTTACAATCTGCTCTGCTATAATGTAGGTTTGGCTATAAAAATGCCTGCCAGTCAAATCCATCTCCATGATAAAAAGAGGCTCTGTCTTATTAATGTGGAAGCTTAAAATGAAGGTGTCATCCTTGCCCCTGAAAACCAGCTTAATAATGGTCTCCTACTGTTACAGAACTCAGCTGGCTTATTGAAGCCTGCTATCTCCTTGAGAGTTCCATTACCTTTGGCTGTTTTCCTTTGTACACATAATTAAACAACAAACAAACACAAAAATCTCTAAACTCAACCAAAGCAAATCTTTAAATAAGTTTAAAAGAAGTATTGTGTCTTAAATAGCAAAAATAATTGCTTCTCTTTATATTTTATAAGGGATATAAGGACTAAATTGCCACTAGTTACACCTTACATTTGTGCAGAACAAATGATTATTAATAAAGAATTGTGATGTTTTGCCTGGTCTTACAAAATAAGTGTCTTAGCTTAGTATTAATGTTAATTGTAGTTACATCTATTTTTGACACAAAAAGGACTTGTTGGAGATTATTTTTACTTAAGGTTACTTTAATAAAGGAAATTCATAAAATAAAAGTTTTACATTATTATTTGTTGAGAGCTTACTTCTTATTTTTTCACTAAAATCTGGGCAATACATTAAAAATTAAAAGTCCTTGCTTTTCTGAGCTATCTTACCTAATAATAGACAAACATGGTAATTGACCATACCTTCGCTATGCCTCTCACTGGCTAATCAGCAAGATATGCAAATTAACTGCCATAAAAGATGGCAGCCGGCAGCCACGGAGCTGGAACGAGCAGGAGGCTTGCTTGCTCCAGTGATGGAGGAAGCCAAGGTTCCCCGCCTTCCACGGCCAGCTCTAAGCTACACTCAAAGCAACAAAGTTTCAATTATAGAAGGTAAATAAACCCCAGATACCTGCTTTCAGCCAGCGGTGACCACTGAGCTGGAGCCTTGGGTTGCCCCTGGCGATGGATGAAGCCAAGCCCTGGCCTGCTCCACTCCAGGCTACAAAGTTTCAATTATAGAAGGTAAATAAATCCCAGGAGAAAAAAAAAGAAAAAAGGAGAGGCTGGGAGCTTCTGTCACTGGGGAGACTTGGCCAGCCTGAAAACGGTCCTCAGCCCTTCACCCAGACTGGCCAGGCACCCCAGTAGGGACCCCCCCACCCTAAAGGTGGTGTGGCCAGCCTGAAAACAGCCATTAGCCCCTCACCCAGGCTGGCCAGGCACCCCAGTGGCACCCCAGGGAGGACCCCCACCCTGAAGGGCAAACCAGCCGGCCTCCACCCATGCACCAGGCCTCGATCTTATATAATAAAAGGGTAATATGCAAACTGACCCTAACAGCAGAAAGACTGGGAATGACTGGTCACTATGACACACACTGACCACCAGGGGGCAGATGCTCAATGCAGGAGCTGCCCCCTGGTGGTCAGTGCGCTCCCACAGGGGGAGCTCTGCTCAGCCACAAGCCAGGCTGAGGGCTGCCAGTACAGCGGTGGTGGTGGGCACCTCTCCTGTCTCCTCAGCAGCACTAAGGATGTCAGACTGCAGCTTAGGCCTGCTCTCCACTGGCAAATGTACATCCCCTGAGGGATCCCAGGCTGCCAGAGGAATGTCTGATTGCCAGCTTAGGCCCAGTCCCCCGGGGAGTGGGCCTAAGCCAGCAGGTGGTCATCCCCAGAGGAGTCCCAGACTGCAAAAGGGCACAGGCCGGGCTGAGGGACACAGCCCCCCCTCTCCGGGCACAAATATTTGTGTACTGGGCCTCTAGTCTATAATAATAAAAGCATAATATGCAAATTGACAGAATGGCCAAACAGCGGAATGACCAGACGACCTTCCAGACAAAGCCAGGATGGCTGCGAGGGCCTACCCTTGCACGAATTTCATGTATCGGGCCTCTGGCAGTAGAATAAAAAAGGAGTATGCTCATTACAGGGTTAAAATATGCTGTTTGGTTACCCTGCTCATTAATTTCTTAACTAACTCTTCCACAAACATCAAAAAGTTTCATTTGAAAACTGTGACTTGACATATACTAAAACCAATTAAAACACATACAGATACATGCACGCACACACACACACATTTGTGCAGCTTCTAATGGTGCCAATAAATCAA